CCTGCCTCAGAAATCGATATTCTGACGCTTTTTGTGCACAGCAAGACAAGCGCTCGGCAGGGCCGACAGAAGAGGTGAAATAAAACCCACTGATGACCCCACCATCAACCTCTCCATATCACTGCTGAGTGTCGCAAAAGAAGCGGATGAATTATCAAAGAGAAATGATATCTGCAAAACCTCTGCGTATCTCTGCTTCACTAGACAGTGTGTCAGAGTTTTTGCGTGCAAATTTCCCGGAAGTTTCATCAAACTGAAAGCTCATCTGGACTAGCCATTAGAATATTAGTTGACTTTGGCAATTGCATCAGTCCGATTATCTTGCAACTCGGAATAAAATAGCAAAGTTCAAAGGAAATCAAATATTTGTGCCTGAAATTCAACATAAAAGGTATATTTATTTTCTGTAATTCATCTTACGGAATATCTCGACCAATTGTAGTCACTTCTGTAAGTCAACAGAGCTCTTTGTTTATCCTGTGCACTTTGTTGGTAAGCTCACTCGGTCTTGATGGCGCTTTCGGGTGGCAGAAAGTAGGTGAACGCGAAGGAATTCCGAGCCACACCCTCCATATCGCAAATATCCAGTCACATAAAGCAGTGGCTGATTGCTATATTTCACGACACCAAACTTACCTCCTTCTCAGATACAATCAACACCGTCGACGCGCGCTGATAAAATGATAAAAGCTCCGCAGGAATATATAGTAAAGGAGAAAAGTGCCTCAAGGTGTGTTCTCGTCGTTTAGCCCCGAGCGAAGGACTTTCTTACACACTTGGCAGCAATTCCTTGAAGTCATTTGATGGCATATTAATATTTATCAAACCGCTTGATTACCCGCCATTATAGATAAAATATCGCACTGCGCCCTGCCCTCGACAGGGACAATGGCATGGGCCGAAGACTCCAGTAATTATCACCCGACCATCAAATGTTGAATATTTGATTCTCCACATCATTAGGTGGCACATTAATTAATGAAATGTGATAATTATGCCCATCACTGCACAGATAATGGCCAGAAAAATTCTCTGGTGTATCATTGAGCACAATTTGGTGCTGTGATTTGTCAGAGCGAGATGTTCTTTGGCACAGTGAAAAAGATCCACACAGACAACTATTTAGAGTTTCTGGTACGCCATGCGAGCTTTGGAGCTTTACTCAGTGGAAAATGATGGGACATAAATCTGGTGGCGCCAGTGGAAAAATCTCTGAGGCGCCATAGAGAAAATCGCAGCTTCAGTAACACATAAAATACGATTGACTTGTTTTCCTTCCATTCTTCGACAGCACTTGATCCAAGAGGCAAAACCAAGGCCACACACAGATTAGGATGTCTCTCAATGAGATTACCCTCATTCCGGAGCATTAAAATTGTCACTTAAAGGGCTTGGCGAAGAAGGAACAAAAAAAAAATGCCGCCACCAAAATATTTCCTGAGATTTTTGACAAATGTGATTCAATGAATTTCAAAAGCATTGAGGATACACGCAATTGTCGGTGAAGCCATAAATTTCCCAGGAACACGCTTGAAGATAGCTCGAGCCAAAAGGGGTGGCGAACGCACGCGGGGCGCAAAAGCTCCGTCAGCAGCGGATGGCAAAATAAAACCAAAAATCGTGCCATAAAAAGCCACCGTCGCGAGTGTACATTTAATATTTACACCGTGAAGCAGTGGCCTACAAAGCACAGAGCTTGAGTTTTCGTATCAACAGTAAAAAAAAAGGGGTGGCGCCTCCTCCACCCCCAGAAAAGCAAGGGGAGGTGAGTTTGAAGGGAGAAAAAATATAGCATCTACATTATTCACAATCGCGTGCCAGAGAAATGAGTTTCTCAGCCGTGACCATCACCGAAATTGAATGAGTGCCAACTACTTGTTACACGGCTTGTCATGTCCTCTCTGGGACTCCTGCTATGCTTAAAGTCATGCTCATCTGGCAAAATGTTACCCACTTCACCGGAACTTGTTGAATTTGCACTTTAAAACACACAACGCAAGGCCATTGGAAATTAAATTTGTCATCATTAATTTCCTTAGGAAGGCAAAGCCAGATGTCCAAGGGGTTTCCCACTAGTTTGAATTTTGATTAACATCATTGACAGTTTGATGTGATGAATAAAACGTGTCGCAATTGAATTAAATTACCCCAAATGAATATGACTTTTTGCATTCAGTCGCTATATTTATAAATGAAAATTCAATTTTTAATTATTTTTCAATGACTAATAATTAGTGAAATCTCTGAATTGAATTTATCTCTAAATTTCCATTTGCAATTTTCCAATATACAACAGAGATGCCACACAAGAGACATTTTACCTCATTTGCCCACCCCTGGCTTTGCTGACGAGAAATACGACGCAAGAAAGTCTGTTCTCGTGAACTTTTTCACCTCAGCACGGACGGAAAATGTATCCTGGAGGCGACTGGTTGAGAAAATATAATGCTCAGATAGTGAAATTTGAAATCACAGAGCCAGTGAGAGGAGAATATTGCCTGGGAAAATTATGGGTGAAAACTGATGCTTTGCGAATTTTATATCAAATCATAAATTTATAATTGCCAGATGGAGGCGCCAGGTGCTCGGTGTTCTTATCTCTATAAAATAATATTTTAATTGCTTTCACATTTTATAGGGGTTGCAAACTGTGTTGTGTGTGTGTGTGTGTGCCATTTATAGGGTTTTCGGGAATGGATATTTGGGGTATTTCTTGGGATCGTGACTGAGAAGCAAATGGTGTGGGTGGAAGAGAGTGACTTTGAAAGTTGCGACGACGAACTTTCAATGAGTGCCGGAGCACACAAAATACCTGAGATATTTTGCAGTGACGCTCACCAAATTGGTGAAAAGTTGAAGCAATAAAATATGAAATGTCTGCACTGGATATGGCATGTGGGTTTGTTTACTTTGCCAGTGAAATTGGGTGGAATAAATCATTGTTCAAGGCTTTCACACAGGGTGTGTGTGTGATATTTACCGAGATAATTTCGTCAAATGACCATACGAAGTCTTAAGGAAGAAAGCCCCAATAATGGGCGCCCCATTAGAGGTCCCGATAATTCTCCACGCCAAATTGTAATGAGTCTGCTTTTTGGGGGGGCGGGTGAAAACCGCCAATGTGATACTGTGGCTCTGGGTGTAATTTATCCACGGAGTGGATGTGAAAATTGATGACGTGATTCCACATGATATTGTGCACCATAACTTGCCTTACAGCTGAGAAATTTATTCAAGACATCCTCCATGGCATTTAAGGCTGAGTTCTTGCTCCATAAATTTTTCAATAACGCCGCCATTTCCACGTCCATAAAATTCATTTAGTCACCCGTGATGGCCCTCACCCCAGCGACAAAAAGGGGTATCACAGAGAAACTTTTATACTAAAAACATAATTACCACTTAACCGTAAAAGAGGAGCACTCATTATAGGCATCGATATAGGGAGCAGAGAAACGTATAATTCACATGAATTCTCCTTTATCTCTTCAGCGCAATCTTACGCCCATGATAGGGGCACTCTGGCCCGTTTTTATTTACTCTGGAGGGCACTTTCTTTTTTTTTCACCCCTCCCGGGCAGCTTCGCCCTCCGCATGCGATTGTACAGCGTATTTCCTTGCCAAGACGGATGGAGTGCGGGGGAGTTTAATATTACGGAGACGTGACTGGAATAGTTGACCTGACAACTCGCCTGGTTCTGTGCTTTATTAGCAACGTTAATTACGGAGACACTTGTTCAGGCCTACCCGCTTTCCTCCGGCTTCCGCACACACTTCTTCTTCCCTCCGCCGGGCAATTAATTAGCATGATGTGCATCCAAAACTCACATTTCGGCATCCCATAATGAGACACAATTGATATGCGAGGAGAGAGACGAGCACATTGCACTCGGATCGATAATTTAATTAAAATATTTCTACAGGTAATTCATCACTTGACTGTGCCTTTTGCCAAGCTACACCTCTCTCTCTCTCTCTCTTAAGTCAAACTTGACGACAGAGTTGCACATCGAAGTTTCCCACAATAATCCCGGAAAGACTTAAACAGCGACAAAGCGTTGTGCAATTTCGAAATTGGAAGATTTAGAGACGAAACTTGAGCCACTCTCAATAGCTTAAATTGTGGATTTTTCCTTTGCTATTATCAAATTCCCCCTTCAGCCGGAAGTCATCAACTCTGGGCGAAACTATGTGTAGAGTAAATCACTTGTTCATGTAAATTGCCTGTAAAACGATTAAGGCGTTCACTCCTAGACATGTAATTACGGTGAAATTAATGTGATAAATCACTGCTACTTATAACACATCCCATTTTACAGCACTCTCGCTCGGGAAGCATTATATTTTTTAATCAAAAATCGCTCTCTCTCTCGACAAGTTAAGGGCGGTGGAAAAGCTAAACGGTGAGGTGAAAGTCCTCTGGCTGAAACACTTTTTATTCCATTCACAGCAGAGCTTTCGTGCAAATCCCGTAATTTTCAATCAAGATAATTTTTGACCAGCGCAAGGTGATAAAACCAGAAATTAAGTTCTTGCGGAAATTATTTTTTTTACAAATTACATTTATATCACTAATCGCAAAGAGTGCACAATGAGAGAATATTTAGGTCACTGTATGGAAATTTAAATTTATGCATTATCTACTGACGTCAGGCGCTTATGTATTTGATCTAATAGTAACACATACAATAAATTCTTCACTAAAAATTCCACACAAACAGTAATTAGTATCTGTTAACGTGAAATTTTTATCTCTTGTTGGAAAAAATAATAGAGAGGACTCTGGAATTTACATAAAAAATTAGCCATGCAGACACACTTTGCACACGAAGTAATGTTTCAAGGCAAAATTCTGAGAAAAACCTTAAGAGTATGTTATTTTACCCGAAGGGCAATTAAAAGCGATAGAATTACTTTGGGCCCTTTGGGCGCATAAATAGCGATAAACTTTGCGAACTTTCCAATTCAGTGGAATCTTGGGCAGAGTGAAGACTTACAGAATGGAACAGAGAGGATTCTGTATTATCCTATCAATGCTCAGTATCATCAACTTGACTAATTGTGAATCCAAAATTTGTCTTGGAGATTTCCTGAAGGATTTCGTGGAACATGAAAATGTTCCAACGACGATTTCCTTGTTCGATTGTCAAAAGTATTCCATCGTGAAAATTGCGAGAGTGACTGAATTGCCGATTGTGACGAACCCGAAGGACTTCCTCGACATCCTTCAGGATCCGAAAGCCAGAAGGAACGACGTTCTCAACGTTGTGGATCTCGACTGTCCTTCGGCCAGAGAAACTCTCGCCGAACTTCCGCCTCTTCTTCTGGCGCATCCCATTCGGTGGCTTCTCCTCGCGGACTCTGCGAGCCTCAAGGACCACGAAGGACTCCTCGAGGATCTGCCACTGCGACTGGACAGCGACGTTCTTCTGGCCGAAGTCTTCAACTCCTCTAGACTCAGTCTCGATTACAGTGAGAAGAAACTCTATTCAATTGATTATCGCAATTCATCCTGAGCTTTTTCACTCTCTGCAGTCTTCAGGATCAACCCGAGTTTAACGATAAGCCACGAAGCTTACGGAGAGTGGGATTCAAAGGTGGGAATCAGAGACTTTCGGAGCACAAGAGTTTTGTCGCGCAGACGATCGAACTTGCATCAAACTCTCTTAACGACGTCAATCGTCATCACGAATCCAGACAGCGTGAATCATCTCGACGATTACACGTGAGTATCGATTTTGGCTCAATTGAGCAAGATTTCAACTCATGACAATGCATTAATTGTGTTTCTGAAGCGATAAACACATTGACTCAATCACCAAAGTCAACTACAGAACGACCAACATAATAATGGACATGCTAAACGCCACTCGGAAGTTTACAGTCAGCTCGAGTTGGGGCATTAAAAACCAAACCACTGGCAAGTGGGATGGAATGCTTGGTGAAGTTTTAGACGGACGGGCTGAAATTGGCGGAACATCGCTCTTTATGACACCAGAGAGAGTGTGGATTATAGAGTATCTGACGTTGACAGTCTCCACCAATTTAGCCTTCATATTTCGCCCACCGCCGCTTTCTTATGTCGCCAATATCTTCTACCTGCCTTTCAGAGGCACAGTTTGGATCGCGATGTTCGCTCTTTTGGCTCTGGCCACGTTCATCTTCTTCTTCAGCTGGCGACTCAGCATTCAATATAAGAATCGTGAGGAAGAAGTTCCCAGATTCAGCGACATCGTGATGAACGCGGCCGGCGCCGTGACTCAGCAAGGAGCGCACATGGAGGCCAAGATCGCTTCCGGAAGGATTTCGTCGTTCTTCCTCTTCCTCTCCATGTTCTTCTTGTACACTTCCTACACCGCCAACATCGTGGCTCTGCTGCAGTCGACGACGACCAGCATCTCTACTCTGCAGGATCTTCTGGACTCCAACATGGATCTCGGCGTGGAGGACATTGTGTACAATCGCCACTACTTCAGCACCATGACGGAGCCAGTGCGGAAGACAATCTATGACACTAGGATTGCGCCTCCGGGAAAAAAGGACAAATTCATGAGTTTAAATGATGGCGTTGCTGGAATTCGTCGAGGACTTTTCGCATTTTTCTCCGAATGCGCAAAATCTTATCAAATGATTGAGGAAACATTCTACGAGCATGAGAAATGCGGGCTTATGGAAATCAAATATTTATTTACAACTGACCCTTGGCTCGCCATAGCGAAGAACTCTCCCTACAAGGAAGTCATGAAAGTTAGGTAAAATGATCATAAAACACAGCATTCACTGATAGATTCATCAAAAATTTCTCAGTCTTTTTAAGATGAAGGAATTCGGTGTGGAGCGTCGTGTGGAATCAAAACTCTACACACGAAAGCCTGTTTGCAGCGGAAAAGGACAGAACTTTGGAAGTGTTCGTCTGATTGATTGTCACATGATAGTCACAATTATCATATCAGGATACATCTTATCGCTATTCATCCTTCTGCTTGAGCACTTGGTGAAGAGGAAATATTTCAGAATCCCTGAAGGCCTTTGTCTCTTTTAAAATTGCTCCACGCTCACAAAGGACTCTATTATCACCTGAGAATTATAGATTCACTGGAAGCACATGCTGTTTGAACTCGCACAATGAAATTTATATACCTTCAAGCTTAACACTGCAAGCAGAAGCTCTGTTGAGCTTGCACAGGGAAAACTTATGTAGAAAACCCACATTTTGGTTCTCAATAAATGGAGAAGAGAAATAAAATATTTATTTCACTGTGTGAATTCCATAAATTAAAGTGATAAGCAAAGGTTGAGACTGTTTGCTAATCTGTAATCTTGTATGTACAAAAGAAATTTTTAGGTCATCTATGGGTGAAGTTTCAACCCTGAAAACTTGTAGTTTATCTTTGTCTCTTCTCCCAATTTCAGTGATAACTTTCCCATATGCCACTTCCTCTAATGGTACTACATTGTGCTAATATTTCGAGATAGTGTGGACAGAATACATTTATGCGCATAGGAAATGAAGGATTTTAAATGACAATGTATATTGAAGTGAAATTCGGGGAAACAACACTCTCTAAACTCGTCAAGATTCGCTAAGCACAAAGCTTTGTCACATGCATGTACACATTTTCACCAAATTACTTCCCCAAAGCTCTTCATTGCAGGCTTTTGTGGCGTGACCTTCAGTATTGAATAAAATATGACCACTCACGAGAAGTCTTTTGGGGGCGTTTGTAAACATCGAATGGCATGTTTGCTGCCCGATTGCGAGACCCATTATTAACCAACTCAAACGGACAAATAGGCACCTTACTCAATCACAAATGAATTGGAAAGGGTTTGCAGAGCAGTTCAATTGCAGGATTTTCACCATTGTGATTGTCAACAATTTAAACTTCAACGACTGCTCATGATCAGCCAAATGAAATCATTAAAATCGAATTGAAGAAATGTCTAAATAAATCCACTTTTGAGTCTTTCACTATTCATGGTCTCAGAAACATTTTGGTAATTATTAACACATCATTTTCGATGTCTCGAAAACATAGTTAGTTTGTGTTAAAGCGAGGACAAGAGCAGAAGTTTCTTTTTTTCTGAAAAGTGAAGTGTGGAATCCTGTTCAGGACACTAGCAAAATGTACAAACATAGTGGAATCAATTCTCTTCTCACACTAATAAACTGAGCAGTTTCTAAAAGTGACAATTGAACATGCAACAATATAATGTATTTCAATGAATTTCTCTATATATTCACAGTTGCAGGACAGAAGAGATAATTGAGGATAATTGTATGGTTGGGCTTCACCGACAGAGAGTGTGGGAAATAAGATGAGAAAATTAATGGGAGTGAAATTCAGCAGAGAAATGGAAGAAATTCTTCTACTATAGAATTTGCATAAGAGATTTACAGTCGAGAGAAGGATTTTGCAAGAAGGCGGAATTTAGTGCAGTTATTCAGTCAAAGAGTTGTATTTCAATTGTATGTTATTTTATATCACTCAGTGTGTAATTTTCTACAAAATTCCAAATGGCAGAAATGTGATACAAAAGGACAGAAAGCTTTCACGGACTTTCAGTTCCATTTCACATTCATTGCCAAAGAGATAGAAAATGATCGTCGTAAGAATTAGTTGCATTTTAATACTTCTGAGCTTCACCAATTCAATAAACACAGCGTCAAAGGCTTTCCTTGGAGATTTCCTGAAGGATTTCGTGGCGCATGAAAATGTTCCAACGACGATTTCTCTGTTCGACTGTCAAAAGTATTCCATCGTGAAAATTGCGAAAGTGACTGGATTGCCGATTGTGACGACCCCGAAGGAGTTTCTCGTCATCCTTCAGGATCCGAAAGCCAGAAGGAACGACGTTCTCAACGTCGTGGATCTCGACTGTCCTTCGGCCAGAGAAACTCTCGCTGAACTTCCGCCTCTTCTTCTGGCGCATCCCATTCGGTGGCTTCTCCTCGCGGACTCAGCAAGCCTGAAGGACCACGAAGGACTCCTCGAGGATCTGCCACTGCGGCTGGACAGCGACGTTCTCCTGGCCGAAGTCTTCAACTCCTCTAGACTCAGTCTCGATTACAGTGAGAAGAAACTCTATTCAATTGATTATCGCAATTCATCCTGAGCTTTTTCACTCTCTGCAGTCTTCAGGATCAACCCGAGTTTAACGATAAGCCACGAAGCTTACGGAGAGTGGGATTCAAAGGTGGGAATCAGAGACTTTCGGAGCACAAGAGTTTTGTCGCGCAGACGATCGAACTTGCATCAAACTCTCTTAACGGCGTCAATCGTCATCACGAATCCAGACAGCGTGAATCATCTCGACGATTACACGTGAGTATCGATTTTGGCTCAATTGAGCAAGATTTCAACTCATGACAATGCATTAATTGTGTTTCTGAAGCGATAAACACATTGACTCAATCACCAAAGTCAACTACAGAACGACCAACATAATAATGGACATGCTAAACGCCACTCGGAAGTTTACAGTCAGCTCGAGTTGGGGCATTAAAAACAAAACCACTGGCAAGTGGGATGGAATGGTAGGCGATCTTTTGAGTGGGCAAGCTGACATCGGTGGAACATCTTTGTTCCTCACTCCGGAGAGAATTTCTATTATTGAATATGTAGGTCTTACAATTTCTACAAATTTCGCCTTCATATTTCGCCCACCGCCGCTCTCGTACGTCGCCAACATCTTCTACATGCCCTTCCGAGGCACGGTTTGGATCTCGATATTCGCTCTTTTGGCTCTGGCCACGTTCATCTTCTTCTTCAGCTGGCGACTCACCATTCAATATAAGAATCGTGAAGAAGAAATTCCCAGATTCAGCGACATCGTGATGAACGCGGCCGGCGCCGTGACTCAGCAAGGAGCGCACATGGAAGCCAAGATCGCCTCCGGAAGGATCTCGTCGTTCTTCCTCTTCCTCTCCATGTTCTTCTTGTACACTTCCTACACCGCCAACATCGTGGCTCTGCTGCAATCGACGACGACCAGCATCTCCACTCTGCAGGATCTCCTGGACTCCAACATGGATCTCGGCGTGGAAGACATTGTGTACAATCGATACTATTTTGGCATCATGACGGAGCCTGTGAGGAAGACAATCTATGACACTAGAATTGCACCTCCGGGAAAAAAGGATAAATTCATGCTGAAGCAAGAGGGAATAGCTAAAATACGAAAAGGACTTTTTGCATTTTTCTCTGAAGCTACTGGCGCTTACAAGATAATCGAGGAAACTTTTTATGAACATGAGAAATGTGGCTTAATGGAGATTCAATATCTTCAGGCGACGGATCCATATTTCTCTATCGCAAAGAATTCTCCGTATAAGGAAATCATGAAAATTAGGTAATGCATTTGAAAGATAATCAAAGGTATATGAAGTGAAAACATTATTAAATTATTTTTCAGCCTGTTGAAAATGAAAGAACGCGGCATTGAAACTCGAGTGTTATCAAAAATCTACACACGAAAGCCTGTTTGCAGTGGAAAAGGACAGAATTTCGGGAGCGTTCGACTGATTGATTGTCACATGATAGTCACAATTATCATATCAGGCTACATCTTATCGCTATTCATCCTTCTGCTTGAGCACTTGGTGAAGAGGAAATACTTCAGAATCCCTGAAAATCTTTGTCTCTTTTAGAACTCTTTGCTTATATTATTATGTAGTTGCTATTGATTTGATAGCCATTGACAAAAAGCTATCCTATTTGCTCTCTTAAAGTAATTTCATGTTGATGATTATCGCTGATCAATCAAAATACACTCAATGTCACGTTTTGGGAGTAGTACGTTCGCTTACAATAATAATAACCACCTTGATTAGATTTAATGTACAATTTGTTGCTCGAAGGGAAGAAAACAATGTGAGAAAGCTTCTGTAATTAACATAACAATGTCAAGCGAAGAATCCTAGAAAGCAAATTTGTAGAAGTCAATTGTAATTATCTTGTAATGATTTCACGCAATGTTTAAAAAAACATACAAAAAGAGTTTTAAATTGAATTTCACCGTGAAACTCTGCAGGGGTTTTCAAGAAACACTGAAAGCTTTAGAATTTGCCTCCTCTGAACAAAGCATTCAAATGTTCAACATGCGATGCTCTTTGGAAGTAATAATAGACCTCTAACCACTATGGTCTGACCAAACAACGCAGCTTTTAATAATACAGAGCTGGAAATTGTATAAAAGTAGTGAGATATAAGAAACTTTTCCCAGTATTCCTTAAACAAAGAGAAGCAATTAAAATGAAGTGTTTCGGCTTGTATTTGGCTCTTGTTCTGCATTGTTTTTTCAACTCAACATGTGAGTCAAGGATTCTGGAGGATTTTCTTAAGGACTTTGTTAAGCATGAAAACATTCCCACCACAATTTCCCTCATGAACTGCCAACTGGACGTTGTGGTGAAAATCGCAAAAAGCACGAAACTTCATATTATACCAAATCCAACGGCATTTCTGGCAACTCTCGTTGAATCTTCACTGAGGAGACACGATGTCTTGAACATCGTGGATTTGGATTGTCCCCATGCTAATCATGCTTTGACACAAGTTCGTCCCTTTCTTATGGCTCATCCAATGAGATGGCTTCTGTTGTTCAACTCATCTCGCAGTGAAAATCACAGGGAAATTTTACAGAAGCTTCCGCTGCAACTCGATAGTAATGTTCTTATTGCTGAAATCTTTAACTCTTCAAGGCTCTCTCTGAAATACGGTGAGATAACAAGCTCAATGATCGAAGAAAGCTGTTAAGCATCTCTTCCATCTTCTCCCAATCGCCACTAGTTTACAGAATTGACTCAGCAATGGAGGTAATTTACCAGGATTACGGCGACTGGAGCTCCTCAGAAGGTATCACAGATGTGCGCCCGACGAGAATACTGGCCAGAAGACGGATGAATATCCGCGGGAAACTGATGACAGCGTCTCTCGTGGTAACGAATAAAAATTCCCTCAATCACTTAACGGATTATGGGTGAGTTTGCGAGTTCATGTGAAATTTAATTGCCAATCTGGTGGATTAGAAAAGTTAAAT